CCAAAAATATAAATATATCATCATTGGAAAAAAATTTCCAGAATAAGCTAGAGTCATAAATAAGAAAATCTTATGTCTTACTATTTGGACAAATAATGATATAGATTGAATATACTTCATAGCACCAAAAGAGAACAATTCACCTAGAATCTAGTCTCAATTTTGTTACTACTAATATTTATATATTTTTGCAAGCTCTTTAATAATTTTTTCATCTTATGTATCTTCTTAAAAATTTACTGAGTTAGGTAAGTTCTTCATTATAATTCCCTTAAATTTAAAAAAATTTAACCCAATGCCTAAAATAATTTAACTAAAAATTATAGATTAAACACTTTTGGAATTGTAAGAATAAATCATTAAAGTTAGTATTTACATCAACTAAATCTCAATTTAAATGCCATCCAAAAACAATTTAGAAAGTAACCATCAGCTACAGAAGAAAAAGATTTTATTGCAGTCCAAACATATAAGACTTTGCTAAAAACAAAACAACATTAAAAAAAAAAAAGCCTTTCAAAATTCAGTACCCTGCTTTAAAACTTCTCCTCTCTACATATTCATTGCTGAAAAGCAGTTAATCCATTTTTAAAGAAAAAAAATATATAGTACATCTACTGGCAACTTGTTTTGGCATTATTAGTATGGTAGCTTGTGTCTCTTTTTTCAGTTTCATTTCTTCCATCTGTACAAGTTTCTCGGATGACAGTTCCTCTCCATAGGATTCTGGCAAGTCTGTGAATATGAGTTACTGTAAATATAATCATAAGAAGGAGAGGATAGTAAAGGAATGGAAACAAATGGAAAAGACAGGCCAGGACAGAACAAGAAAGGAAGGGTAAGGTAAGATCATTTCTTTAGTTAACAGAAATTAAAATTTCAACTATTGGTAAATATTCAATAAAATATGGTACTATTATTTTTGATATGTAAGAATAACCATCTTTAAATAATCAGGGGCTTCCTTTTAGCCCACAAAATAAATCTCAGCAGAATGAATACTTTTTAATTCTTTGAAGAGACTCTAAACTTCCTCAGATAGATACAAGGATTTGTCCTCTTCAAGGTTATGCATATTTTGCTCATTTCATCCAAGAATCTTTCTGGTTATTAATTGGAGTCTTGATTTTTTTCCCAACAGCTACAAGATTCATACTGTAATTTGTTTATCATGTTGAAAATTTCACCTTTGCCAAATTTAACTGTCATTTTTCCCCATTTCTATTTTCTTAGATCAGTAAAACAAATTGTAACAATAGCCTTATGGATAGTATACTAAGACAACTCAAGTATGTTTCATACACAAGTTTGACTGCCAAGAGAGGCTACATTTTCAACTAGGAGAGATCCACAATGGTGATATCATTAATGCAAGGGCATGATACACAATTGCAGGGATATTCTTGGTTTTCACAATAGTATGGGGCCCTGGCATTCAATGATGAAGGAAGCTAGATTTGCTCCAAATTATCTATTGACAGTGGACGTCCACTGATTCCCACTCATTTCATGATGCTCATTGTTACCCTCCACAAACATGGAAGAAACTGGAACAAAAGTAAATATACAAATTTCCTTGCATATAGGTTTAGACATTTCTGTTTAAGTTAATATTAATGAAAATTTGTTAGTGGACAAAAATGAACCCCATCATCCTGCATCTACTGCTATTTGCCAGTTTAAGAAGGTTTTCTCTACATCATATTTATATTGACTATTAAGCAGCTTTCTGGTTGTTACAAAACAAGGAAAATAACTATATTCTTTATATGTCTTACCTGACACTTGTTTTGAGTGGCTACTTACCTGGCATCTGCTTTGTCTCTTCTATCGTAATTCCACTTGATCAGCAAGTGAGGAAATCATGAGGAAACTGTGGCTTTGTTTGTTGAATACATTCTAAAAAGTTCAAAATAAATTGTGTGTCTTTAGCCCTTTCAATTTATTTTGTAGACTCTTAACTCCTTCTATTAAATCCCTTGCTGTTTATGATACCCAGACTAATTAATATATGTAATACTAATTAATATTTGTAATCCTAGTTCCTTCACCTTATGTTCTTAATACTCATTATGCTTCACAGAATGGAAAGTTCCCCTGTACCTCATGAGATGTTTGGATATTTTTCAAGGCTGCCATTCTCTTAAAAAATATGTTGATATTTGACTTCTGAAATGTAGATTTAATATACAGTGACAGAGAGTAATCAGTTATTGCCTGGGGCCTTATGATAAAAGGATGGTTCACAGAGATGGGACACAAGGAGATTCTTTAAGGTGATGTGGATATGCTATCTCTTGACTGTGGTGATAGGTATACAGTATGCATATTTATCAAAAGCTAATGAAACGCACACTTAAATAGATGCAATTCATCCTGTATAATGCCTCAGTAAAGTATAGGGTAGACAGTTAATATTGACCGAGGGTGCATCATATATAAAATTCTTTTGTGAAACATAAAATATTTTCCAAATCATCTGAGCATAGAATGTATTTCTGTTTAAGATATATAAGCAGAAATTATTTTTGCACAGTTTCTATATAAACAGAATTTTCTAGAAAAAAATACTACATTGAGTTTGCTTCTTTTGGAACTTTTCCAAAGCTGTTGTACCTTTCCTAAATGTTTTATCAAAAATGTAAAGACATTTGCCAGTATGGCAAACTAAATCATTTATTCAAAGTAGCTTTCATACTCATAGTGATACTAATAAGGACTAGAAATGTGTAATTATTGTATTGGGCCGTATAATATGAATGTACTTGTCCAGTTATTCTATTGAATTATGTTTCTTTAAAAATTACTCCTGATTTAATGCATTACTCACATTACAATAAACTTTTAAATGTATTATTATATTGGTGTAAGAGATAATATGTTCGAATTGCCAATCAAACCATGTCTCTATTTATTCTAAGACATATTCTTCATCCCTAGGTGTTAGGTAATGTTTGAGGAACTGAGGATGTACAGTGATTATTTTAAAAAGGAAAACAAAAGAAGTCCTTGCTATAAAGGTTTTACTTTCTACTGGGATGGATTAATAATAAAAATAAGTTTTTTACTGGATAGAGACAAATGTTATAAAGAAAAGTGGAGCAGTTACATAAAGTTAACTGGCTAAAACCTAAGGCATAAAATTGATAAATTTCTCCTATGGTTAGTATAGTGTTTCTTACGTCCTTGTGTAATGTTAAATAAAAGTAAAATCAAAAACAAAACCAAAAACCAACATGAATCCTTTGTACATGAACAGCAAACTTAATCTTAGCTCCATTTGACATCCCTTGGGTTTGGTTCTCCAACAGGAAGATGCAGAGATGTTTAAATGTATGAAAAGTTTACTGGGAAATTACATGTATGATATGAAAAGGAAAAATGCAAGGTTAGCCAGGAAGAGCCTTCAGAACATGATGTTAGAACCAGGGAATACATACTGTGAGATGGAAGATTCCCAACTGAGGAAGAAATGGCTGGCTCTAGCTTCCATGTCTTGCTTAGTCATTGGCTGGAAGCCCACTGGCAGGAAAAAAAGAAAAGAAAGAAAAAGCAAACATCCTTGATTACCTTCTCTTTATTATCATGGGACAGGAACCATCCTGAGCAGAATATAACGTTGGCTTGGAGGTAGAGTAGATTTAGAGGAAGCTAACAGCTGGGCTGTCAGCAAAACACTTTCCTCTCAGCTGGACATGAGTCATTCCTTGAAGAGGTATCTGAATGGAGTATCTGCCAACCACCTCTGCTACAAAATTCAGAAACTGATAGAGGTGCAATTCCACTCCGTTTTTGTTTTCCTTTTCTCTTTCTCTATGCTGTATTACGACTTAAATATCAGCCAACAAAGCTTAAAGAACCTGACTAAAGTCTATACCCCTCATATTCATAAACAGATTAATCTGTGTTTCCAACAGACAAATATCTTGGTAAGATTCATAGCCTGTTCATTCTCTACTTTTATAGACTTTTAATTTTCTCTCTTTATTTCTCTACTTCAAATGTCCTATATTTCATTGCTTTGTTTTGTTTTTTTCTTTGCTGTTTTTTAAGCTGTACTGAAAAACTTCTTTAATATACTCCCAAAGCAAAAGTCAAGTTGGTCTTGTTTATTAAATCTGGAAGGGGGAGATCATTGAGGATTATATAATATCCTTATACTGTTATATAAATATAATGGTTTTGAATGTTTTCCACCATGAACTCTGCCATTATTCTAATTTGTTTAGACAATAAGTAAACATCGGAACCCCAGTGGCAACTGAAATATTTCTTTATTGCAACTCACCCATCTAGGCTTCCCTGACCTTATTTCCTTGAAACTTTTATTTTCTCTATGCTGTTCTTATTTTCCCTTACAGAAGGTTGAGGTAAATTTTTAAAATTTCATATACATTTTCTCTCCTGTGATGTGCAGAGCTTATCCTGTCTGTCACATCTTTTGACTGTAGGATAGAAGTCTGTCTTTAAGCATATTCCATTACTCTCTAAATTTCTGAATGTACCTTCTCTAACCTCAGGCTACAGTATTTTTTTTTTCCTGGAGCAGAATCTGAGATCTTCTATTCTGCCAATTACATTGTTCTCTCAATATTTTTTGTAGTTTCTCCTCTCTCTCTCTCTCTCTGTAATTAAGTCTGTAAAGGTTTCATACAGCTGTTGCTTAATATAAATCTAGATGAAATCACATATTTCCTATGTAATAATTTTACTTTTGGACATCTGTTTAATAACAAATTCTGCAAATCTTTTAGAAGAGAAGCAAAAGAGAAAAGAGTCTGTGTTTTAGGTTTTCTTTCTTTCATCATCTAACAAGGTGATGATCTAACACCAAAATCACTTAAGTTGCTTGTTTTAAGTATATATCATTCATTATTTTTCCAGAACTAATAGGTTAACATCTCCAGACTCAGGGTTTGAGAATTTTTCTTTGTAAAGTGTCTTATGTGTTTGCTGTAGCATTATCTTGGAAATAGACCTTGTATTTGATTGGCCTCTTTATTAGCATTCATGGTTCTTGGGCCAGTGTCTAAGAGGAAGTTAGAAAGTTGTCTGAGCTCCCGGTAGATGCAAAATATAATAATTAATGATACTTTCATAACTAGAAAATACTTAATTTATTCACTTTTAAAGTTGTTATCTATTAGCTATTATCTCTTTTGGATTCTCTTACCCCTTTATTCATAAATGATTAATCTGTTTATGAGAGGTAGAGACCTCTTTAGTTATATTAGTTTTAGAGGGTCTATGTTAGAAACGTTTATCTTTTGCAGTGCTGATAATTTTGAAAATAATTTATTAATTATCTTTCTTTGGCTATATTTTTGCAGAATTTGTATAGTATGGACAGGATTTTTTTCTTTAAGTTTAGAAATAATATATAAATCTGATTATATTTTCCTATTAGATAGAATCCTAATTTTAAAAACTTTCTTTCATAAATCATAGATGATCAATTCTGTCTCTTAAATGAGACTTTTCCACACATTTTAATTACATTGATTATCTAAGTTTAAAGAACCATATTATGTTATAAAATATTTATAACTATGGATGCTTTTAGCACAAAACTTCTTAAACTGACTTAAAGTAGAATCTCACATATCAGAAAATCTAGAGATTCAATTGCAGCACTGAGTGCAAGGTATATTTCACCTGTCTGCTCTGAATCTTCAGTATTGAAAGTGGAAATATTTAACTACTCCAGGCAAAAGGATGTAACTACTTTCTCAAACATGTGACTAAAAACATGGTTTTAAAGTTTATGGCACCTACCTGCTCCTGAGCCAATAATCCAATGATACTTGGTAAATAAATTAAAGATGTAAACTGAAATAACCTAATCAAGAAGACTTTACGTAAAGCTACATGTGCAGTCATTTAATGGGAATAAAGAGAATTTGATATTTCGTGGTGATCCCAATACTTTTTAAATATTATCTTGGAACATTTGCAATATCTTACAAGCACATTTTCCACTTCATATACTAAAACTGCATTTTCAGTAGGTACTTTGTTCATTTAATTGGTATTTATTGAGCACCTAAAATTTGGTTTCCAGAGGTATTACTGGTGTTTTATGATGCATTTTTTGCCGTTAAGAACGTTAATTAACTTCCCAATCTGCTTGAGGATAGCTTCAGTTTTTATTTAAGGATAGGATTTCTTCAAGGTCATTTGATGTAGAAGAATAGATTTTCCCTTGTTTTCAAACAAAATCATAAATGTTAAGATTAATTAAATGCCACGTATGTAATAAGGACTATGTTGAAAATTTTTCTGTTCATTCTCTCAATGACTTGATGAGGTATTATTATAATGTCCATTTTCAGATAAGGCAGTTGAGTACAATGAAACTATGTTGGTTTTTACATGAAAATAACTTCCACTACCCTTTTAGGTTAAGTAATCGTTGCCTACAAACCAAACTTAGTATTAAATAAATGAACTCCATTTATTTGCGCATCAGTGTGTACACATGTTGAGAACTTAATGATAAGTAACTTCATGGAATCATTAATATGCCACCTTAAAAGAAAACAATAAAGGGCCGGGGATTTAGCTCAGCGGTTCTGCTGCCTGCCTTGCAAGCAGAAGGACCCGAGCAATCCCCGGTGTAAAAAAAAAAAGACAATAAATTTATAGAGAAATGATAAAGGACAAGAAGTTGAGACACCTAACTGCAGTGTCAGTTGTATATTCTGCTACTATAACAAAATATTTGAGACTAGGTAATTTGTAAAGAAATCAAAGGTACCATCATGTAAATGGTTCTTGATGAGGGATCATATTTCATGTACCAAAGGCAGAAAACAGATGGAAAATAATTATATATGAAAGGGCATATCTGTGAGACAAAGAGGACTGATATATTTTATAACAACCCACTCTCGTGGTTACTAATTTTCTGTCCATACCTCGTCCGTTCCCTGTAGACTTAATCATGTCTCCAAAGAACTCATCCAGTCTCAGAAAATCTAATTAATTCACACATGAATGTCGTGTTTCCCTTTTCCACCACTCAAAGGTCCTACTGACTCTCACTACCATTTCCCTGGAGTCCAAGTTTCCAGCATATTAATCCATGGGGGACATACCCTACTGAAAATATTAGCAGGCAATAAATGTTGCAAAGGTCAATACATGGGGTAAGTTAATAGAAAACAAGCAGTTATTCAGTAAGACTTATTTATGCAGAAGCAACTCAACATTAACTTTCTTTTCCCAGTAGTAATGGTTGTATTCCTCCTCTTGGTAGAGAGAGAATTTTCCTGTAGGGAAATTTACACTTTGCTTGTAAGCAAAAATGGAAAAGGTAAAAGTTTTTTATGCTTTTTCTCTTCTTTAAGTTGCTTTCAGATCAAAGTAATCCTAATTTCCAAAAGGCATAAGTTGGGGTAGTATAATAGCTCTCACCCCTCACTAACAACTTTTAGGTAATAATATTGCCATATGAATATACGTATCTACTCCAAGTAGCTTCACTGTGTAAAGAAGAAAAATAATTCAGTATAGATTCCCAAGTTTTCTATGAATAGTCCTACATTAAGTGCTATAGAGTAGTGTACTCTTACACTGATATTTACCCTAAGTGGGTTATTGTGATAAATGTTCTTTATATTTTAATTTAAAATTTCACAAGAATTTATTGGAATAAACATTTAGTAATATACCATGGATTCTTTCACTTTAATGGCAGCCTGTGTTCATTATTTTACAATAATTTAAAGAATATCAAATCACCCAAATTACCAAGAGCACCATATTTCATGGTGATGGTATGTGCATCAAATTTGAAATATCAATTTAAATTGCCAAACTTTCTATTAAATAGAAATATCTACCTGAGCCTAGAAATAGCTTTCTGTGAGGCTTTTGCGAGACTTGTTTTGTATCACAAGTAACATGTTTTACTTGTACAAATTAATTCACTTCTGTGCCTCCATATGATTTTCACTGACCATATCCATCCATGCTTCTTCTACATTTGTTCCACTTTTCCATTTGCTCCCTGGAGCCTAATGATGATGATGATGATGATGATGATGTTATCATCTCTCTCTTCTTCAGTTTATTGTTTTTTTCCCATTGTTGTTTTGTTTTACTTTTTCCACATATCAAAGAGAACATGTGGTAATTTTCTTTTTGTCCAGATAAGGTTGCTTAGGATGCTGACTTAAACTGGTAAATATTAATTTTCCACCTTTAACTGTATGAACAAGATTTGCAATTATATAACAAAATCTAAAACAAACCTGAAAATTGTATACCTTTGATATCCTCTCCATGTGGAGATTTTCCTTCAAGAGGAGAAAATTTAAGAGAAGAAAAATAGAGAACTAGAAAATAAAGGGATTAAAAGCAAAGCTGGAGGACAAAGGGAGATTTTGCAAGCTTTGGGAACTGGTTCAGAAGATAGCAGGGAAAAAACAAGAAAGAAAAAGAAACAAGATCAGAGCAAAACAACAACAGAAAAACTAGAAACAGTGTTCACCTTTGTATAAAAACAATGAGCAATGGAGAAAAAAATATGAAAGGAAGAAAAGTATATA